AAATTCTGGCCTAAAGAAATCTGGTCACAATATGTTAATGATTTATCAGATCTTAAAGAACCTGGATATGAAACAAGAGCTATAGACTGTTTATCCACCATGATTCATAATTCTCTTGAACATGTACCACAATGTCTAACTTATATGAGCCAAATTAAAAATCAAAGTGTCTTCACATTTTGTGCCATCCCACAAGTAATGGCTATTGCAACTATGGCTTTGTTATTTAGAAATTATAATGTTTATAAAGGCGTTGTTAAAATTCGTAAAGGTGAAGCTATAAAGGTGATTCATTCACTCATTCATTCATTCATTTTTTTATGGTAAAATTTTAAATTAATATAATTAATATATAATTAATTGGCCTATCTGTATATTTATATTTTGTTAGTTGATTTTGAAAGCCACAAATATTTATGAGGTAGCAAATATTTTTATGGAATTTACAAAGGTAATTATTCAAAAGAATAATTCAAAAGATCCAAATTTTATGAAGATTAGTGTTGCCTGTGGTCAGGTAAGGAAAAGAATATTATTATTGTTAATCCTTTCCATTTGTTATTTTCTATCATTGCATTAAATTAATATCATATATTATTTATAAAGATTAAACAATGGTGTCATACTAATTTACCAGATTTGGATAAATATAATTCTGGTACATCCCAATTGAAACCTAAAGATTCACAAAATGATAATGATTTATTGATTTTCTTTAGTTTTTTATTACTAGCATTTACCGCTTATTTATTATATTATTGTAGAGAATATTTTTATTATGATGGATTAGAAATTTTAGATTTATTCTATTCATCATAATAATTTTTTTGATTATTCTCCTCCTTACCTTCTTATTCTTATCAGAATAAATTTTTTTAAAAAAAATATATTATAAAAAAATTATAATATATAACGATGATCCACCAAATCCCGTAAACAAAAAATTACTTGTAAAAAGGGGCGAGGCCTTTTTTTTTTGGGTTTACAGGACTTTAGTTTGTGCAGAAAAGATTTTGTGTACGTAATTTTTGGGAATAATGGATATGTTGTGCGTGAATTTTAAATTGAAATTGACACACAACAGATGCACAGTGAATCTCAGTTTAGCGGTCCTCGATTTAGCGGATGCTAATTAAAAATCTCGGTTTAACACCTTCTCGATATAACAGTTTCTCGAAAATTTCCCAAACTTCAAGCTGATGCTATCCCAAAATATACATTTAAATATCAAGTCTCATTAATACTAATGATTTATTTTTTCGCTTCAAGTATTCTTTCCTGAATAAATGAATAATAACAATAACTTATGGAATCTAAAAATTTTCTATTTAATTACCATCATTAAGTCAATGATGATAAAAATCACTAAAAAATATAAAGTTTTAATTCAATTTTGGCACGAGTGAATTGATGAATCTTTTTAAAAATTACTATTAGTTTCTTTGTGACAATTAATGTAAACGGGTATCTGGATATTTTTGTCCAAGGAGTGTATAATAAATATGTTGTGTATGTTATTATTTAAAAAGATTTATCTGTATTATTAATTGTATTGATTTTTCAACTATTATATTTATAATTGAAAAGAAAAGAAAAAGGTTGTTTATTATTATTATATAAATATTTCTTTTCTTTTGGTATATATACTATATATATAAAATATTTAAAAAAGTTTATATATGAATATGTACAATAATATTGATTATACTATTATTATTATCTCGTATGTTTGTTAATTTCTATTCTCATATTGATAAATTGTTATCTTAATTACTAACCAACCAATTAATTAACCAGCACCTTGATCAACTATATATAAATATAAATATCTGTTTCTCTCTTTCTATAATATATAAATCATTAAATAATATGTATTATTATTATAATTATTATTTTAAGAAAAGAATGATGATAATTTGATATTATTAATAAACTAAAACTAATAAACCAATAATAATAATAATAATAATAACAATAATAATAAAACAAAATAAAAATAAAATAAATTGTATCAAAGTTTTTGCTAATTCTCCCCCCTCCACCTTTTTTATTTCAAACATCATCTATCTGTTGTGTTGATGGAGAGAAATCATCTCTTTGATTTTTTCTTTCAGGCCTGGCTCTAGTAAATTTATTATTATTCTTACTACTACTATTAATATTGTTACTAATATTGATGTTACTACTATTACTAATATTATTACTATGGATATTATTTGTTGATATTTCATTCATGATAGTACTATCATTATTATTATTATTGGTATTATTGTTATTGATGCTACTAGTGTTTGTATTATCAGATTCCAAAGGTCCATACTGTTTTTCATAACGATTCACTTTTGCATGCATTTGAAATAAAAGATCTTGAAGACGTTCCATCTCTTCTTCTAAAACTATACTTTGTTTTCCTGTTTCTATTATATATATAATGTATATCATACATAAATTTATTATTACAAGAAATTATTGTTAATGTTTAATAAATTAATCATCATACTTTTAATTGCAATTTTCAACTCTTCAATAACTTTTCTTTGCAAAGCTATCTCCACTTCATATTGTTCCACGCGTCCTTGTCGAAGTTGTCTGCCTAATTCTTCATTTTCATTTTGTAATGTTCTCAATTTCTCTACAAGTTTCTTACCTGTAATACTTTGGAAAAAAATAATAATTTAAACAAAATAATTGAATATATAGGTAAGTGTACACGCACACATATATAATGACATACCTATTAGGTGTAAATCCTACACCATCCAACTCTCTCTTTAAATTTTCAATTGTTTTATCTTTTTCTTCTAGTTCCATTTTCATAGTACGAAATAAAGCATTAATAGCAGGATCAAGAAATTTTTTCCGATAGGCTGGTTCATAAGAAAATTCAGGTGCAAGTGTTTGAGATAATGTTTGTAATTCACCCTATTAAATAATATATTAATATATTAATTATATGCACATGTGTATGCATATATGCATTTTAATTAATCAGAGTAATTAAATTCTTTTTTTTTTCCTCAAAAAAACCCTCCATCATTACCAATAGATTTTGAACCTCTTCTTCCTTTTTAACTAATTTGATTAACAAATCTTGTTGCGAAAGATGTCCTAAATTTTGTAACATTTGAAGTTGATGAGATTGTTGTGACGATGTAGAAGAAATAGAAGAATTTTTCTGGTGAGTATTATTAATAGTTGAAGTGGTATTATTATTATTAATCCTAGTATTCCTATTGTTATTATTATTATTATTATTAGCTTTATTATTATTGTTAATGTTATTGTTAATATTATTATTGTTAGTGATATTATTAATATAATTATTAATCGGATCATTATCAATCATAATATTGTTGGTGTTCATAGCATTTAAAGTATTTGTTATTGGTATAGCAGGTGAAGAGATCCTTTTATTCTTTAAAGGTGATGATTGTGCAAAAGATTCTGTTTTAGTGTCACCACTGCCACCACCACTACCTATCGACATATTTAAATAACTTGGTGGAGCCGATGGAGAGTTAATGGTATTAGTATTTATTAGAGTTGTTAATGATTTTGTTGGTGTTGAAGATAATTTTGGAAATGCTGTTGTTAAACTTTGATTGGGTGAATTTTGTGTTGTAGTAATTGCACGAACTAAAATTAATTGAAATTGTTATTTCAATAAATAGGAAAAAAATAAATAAAATTATTTTTAATATTTTTTTTAATTCTTTCTTCACCTGAATTACTACTACCACTACCATTACTACTATTACTACTATTATAATTTATATTACTATTGCTATTGTCATTATTACTACTACTACTACTGTTGTTGTTATTATTATTATTATTATTATTATTATTACTATTGATACTACTACTATTACTAATATTGTTGTTGATGTTGATGTCGTTAACGCGATCACCAGAAAAATCTGGTTTATTCTAAAAATCAAATTAAAATAACCAATATTAGTTGAAAACCAATATCATATATAATTAAAATTTAAAATATTCAATGTACCTTTTTTAATTGTTCATTAATGGCAGTAACACGTTTTTCTTTTTATTCATTTATTTTATTTTTTTCCCCATTTAAAAAAACATTGTTTAGATTTTCCTTCAAATGAAAAATAAAACAAGCCAATTTTTTAAAATGGATTCAAAAATACCTTCAATTGGTGAAGTTGAAATTCTTCTTTTCTTTTGAGGTGAAAAGGGCCCCGACATTTTTATTTTATTTAAGTTTTTTATTCTTTATTTAGAGTTTGTTAAATAGTGAGTTAAAAAATTCTTGTGGTTTTTTTGAATGCTATTTTGGTACAATAATAGTGTATGTGTGGATTTTTAACTAATAATTGATTGGCTAGTGGTTGCGTATTTGTAAAAAACTCCGAGAATAAAGTTTTCAGGGCCTTGTTCTGTTGCAGCCATGTCCCTATTTATCAGTTAAAAAGTAAATAATAATAAACATGTAGAAAAAATGTGACACATGCATCAAATATTTAAAAAAAAAAAAAGGAATTCTTCCCCTCTCTCTTTTTTTCCTATCACTTTTTTAATTTATATTTATTTAATTCTTCGACATGAGTGATTGGCAAGATCGTGAACAACCTGATACTTTGGTTTTATTTGATGTGGACGGTACATTGACACCAGCTAGAAGGGTAAGCTGACTGACTATATATCTATATTAAAATCATAAAAAGAAGAAAGTAAAATTGTTTATAAATAAAAAATTTTTTTTAGCAAGTCACTCCAGAAATCTCAGATTTGTTGAAAAAATTAAGAAAGAAAGTAGTCATTGGATTTGTTGGCGGATCAGATCTTGTTAAACAAATAGAACAACTCGGATCAAACGGTAATGATTGATTGACTGATTGATCGTTTTAAAGAAACAAAATTTTCTTTCCCGGAAAATTACTTATTTAATTTTTTTTAGTTCTCAATGATTTTGACTTTGGATTCTCTGAGAATGGACTTACTGCTTATAGATTAGGAAAACAACTTGCTTCTCAAGTATTTATTAATAACTGATAATTGATAGTTGAATGCTTTCTTCTTTCTAATCATAATTATCTTTTTTTCTTTAAATTAAAAGAATTTTATTGAATGGATAGGAGAAAAGAAATATTCTGCGTTGGTGAATTTTATTTTAAGATACATAGCAGATATTGATTTGCCAAAGAAACGGTATTATTATCATATTTTGAAATTATTCAAACCGGGGATTTTATCAAGTGAATTGATCATTTATCTTCTGTGTTTAGTGGTACATTTGTTGAATTTCGTAATGGAATGATCAATGTGTCACCAATTGGACGTAATTGCAGGTATTTTATTTTATTTTATTCCTTCATTCAAAAAAGAATATAATTCAATTTTAACATCAATTTTTTTATTAGTGTTGAGGAAAGGAATGCTTTTGAAGAATATGACAAGGTATTTATAAAGAACATTTTAGGCGATTCTCTCATATTTATATATTATCATTATTAAATATATATCTTTTTATTTAGATTCATAATATTCGACCTAAATTTGTTCAAGCATTAAAAAATCAGTTTCCAGATTATTCTCTTACATATTCAATTGGTAAATAAATATAATATTAATTTAATTAACAAAGATTAATAGCAACATTAAACAATAATAAATAAATCTAGGTGGACAGATTTCTTTTGATATATTTCCTACTGGATGGGATAAAACTTATTGTTTAAAACATGTTGAAACCGAAAATTTTAAAACCATACATTTCTTTGGTGATAAAACATATCAGGTATACTATATTATATGAGAAAGAGTTATATTGTATATGTAAGTTATTTAATTATGTTAATACTAATACTAATATTTTATTTTAGGGAGGAAATGACTATGAAATTTTTGTGCATCCCAAAGTTACAGGACATTCAGTTAAAAATCCAGATGATACAAGTAGAATATTAAAAGAATTATTTAATATCTAATATTTATTATTTGGTAGTATTTAATATCTAATATTCATTATTCGGTAATATTTAATATTTAATATAATTGTTGTCACAATGTCTTGTTGTGAAATGTTTTTTACCATTATTTCTATAAGTTTCTTGAATCAATTCATAGAAATATTTATAATACCATAATAAATTATCATATTTTCCATCATAATCATAACTATTACTGTTACTACTATTATTATTAGATAATGAAATTTCATCATATTCTCTTAAAAAATAATAAATTGCTTCAATGGTTGCCAAATAATTTTCATTTTTGTTCTGATATCTCCAAAATAATGTTTTTTGTGGTTTAATTGTGACTTTTCTCAACTTTCTAAATGTTGGATTCTTTTTGGTCATAGAAATTGCTTGTCTCCATGTACCATCAACCACAATCAATTTATCAAATGAATCTAAAGAAATATCTTTTAATAATTTAGCATCCTAAAAAAAAAATTAATAAAAAATATAAATATTTGAAACCTTTTCTTTAACCAATTAGCATACTAAAAAAAAACCACTTTACAGGATCTGGAAATAATAATAAAACTCTATCTGGATTTGTTATCTCTGGAATATTTTCATGAGAATAAATTTCCACATCATCAGGTGCAATTAATTTAGCATGGGGAGCTGTCGATTTACCATCTAATTCTTGATTATGCTTAACACTAATAAAAATTAATATAGATAATTAATAATATTATTATTGTTATTATTATTACTCAAATATTAAATATATTACTTACATATCAATTTTAATTGGTAATTTTAACTTTGGTATAAATTTTTCATCATCTTTCCTGATTCCAACAATTTTATAACAATAATAACAGTAATATTTTACAGGTTTATTACATAGTTTGCATGGAATTCTATCATTATTTTTATAATTATTAATTAAAATATCTATTGATGAAATATTTTCAAACTTATCAAATGGTGAAGTTGGTGTTTTTTTTAATCTTGTTGTAGATTTGTTATTGTTGAATGGTAGTGGCGGTATTAGTGAATTGTATTTTTTTAAATTTTGCTCTGATTTGTGAAGTGACAAAGTACCAAATAAATCTGTTATAGAGTCTTCTTCTGATAGAGAAGATATTGGCAAGATTGTATTAAATACTTTTTTCATAATTAAAATAAGTACATAAATAAATAAATTAATTAATATAAATGTTATTTACATATATCATCAATATTCAATTTAAAATTTAATTCATTACCTTGTTCATTTTGATTCATTATTATTATTATTTTATATATAGTTAAAAAATAATTTTTAGCTTTATTAATAAGTAAGCGATCACCAAGAATTAGCCACAAAACAATATTAATAATGTGATTCTTGATTTTTCAATCCTTGTATATATATTGATTGGTCCAATCTTTGAATTTACCTTGACAAAATGGACAAATGTTACTGTAAAGGGTTTAATATCCATAACATATTTAATCAATTCTGGTAGCTATTAGTCATATATTAAGTTACTAAATTAGGGGTTTACCCTCTATGTTAGCAACCCTGCAAATAAATTTAAACCATTTGGGACAGTTATGATTTTTTAATAATCCTTGACCATGTTGGCAATTAACATCCCAATTTTGTACCGGTGTAAATTCTTTTGACATCAAATAGGTTAAGCAAACTATTAATTATATTTATATTTGATTTATTCATTAATTTAAGGAATTCATATCACAAAAGAAAAGATATCAAGGAATTCAACTGCAAACTAGTACAGCTTTGGAAACTATCTGCGATAAATCTACGTTAACATATTAACTAATATGGAAAATGTTTTTGATAATACAATGAAATTAAAAATTAATTAAACCTTCCGACGCAGTTGAAGTTATCACCAGAAGCGATTTCATCGGACCCCAAATACATATTTTTTTCTCGTCAACCTTTAATCGATTTCTTAGTCTTTTTTATTTCCTTTGTCTCCTTTATTTTTTTCATCATTTGTATTTTCATCATCCACCACCACCTTCATTGCCTTCTCTTCCTCCTTACTCTTATTGGCCGACGGACCATTACCTTGCATTTTTAATACAACACACCCACCATTCCATTCAGGTGGTTTACTAGATTTAATGTAGTCTTTTAAATTAATTAAAATTTTATCCATGACACTTTTATCAACTACTTCTTTATGAGTATTTTTATTGTTGCTAATAATGATATTTAAATTATAACCTTTTGATAGAAACTCAATTGCTTTATTAATTTTATGTGACAAATCATTCTCGCTGATTCTCCAACCAAGTTTTAATTCTTTATGGATATTTTGTGGTAGATGACTACTTTTTGATTTGACCTTTGATGATCTTCTTTGTGCTTCATAAAATTCTTTTTTCTTGATCAATTTGCAAACTGGGGGAATTGCTGATTTGTTTACTTCAACTATACAATATTGTGATCTATCCAACGATGATAATATTGATCGCAAAGATTTTATACCTACAAGAATACCTTGTTCATTAACATAATTCACCGAATCTGATGATATCTCTTCATCTATCCTTGGTCTACTTGATAATGAATTTGATGAAGAGTATGATGAATATTGTTGATAATGGTGATGATAATAATAATGATGATGGTGGTGTTGGTTGTTTAATTTGATTTTGTTGTTTAATTGATTGACATTAATAATCAAATTATCTTTTTTGTTATAATTATTAAATTTGAATATAAAATTATTAAATGTTCTCTTCATTTTTTTTTTCTGAAGTTTTGTGTTACCAATGTCGTGATCTACATGTCCGAAAAACATCGTCAAAAAAATATTTTTTTTAATTTTCAAACCACGCGTATCTTTATCAAAAAAAAAATTGTTTAATTAATATTTTTTTTCCAACAATAATGTCACGAAAAGAACTTAATACTTGTTATTTTTATTCTTCTTTATCTCCATTCTCGCCTATCGAAGGTTCCTCAGTTCATAAAAATTTTGAAGAAAAAACTGGTTACTTGTTGTCTATTATGAATAATTTTTTAAATACTAATGTCAAAGGAACCAAAGATATAATTTTACCAAATTACAAATATCAAGAAGAACCACCCTCTTCTCTAATCATATCATATCATAATACCATAACTGATAGGTTCCATTTAACAAAATTGAACAGTAACCTATCAGTCTCTCTATTTGAAGAAACGTCATCACCACCAACACCAACACCACCACTATCATCATCACCATCATCACCACCATCATCAATTTTTGATGGGTCAGAAAAATTTTCTCCGGCCTCTTCCCCAAAAGTTAATAATTATTATTATGTTGAAACTGATTCGTCATTAATTTCAACGCCACAAATCAGTACACAAAATAATAATAATTTGTGTCATCATTCATCACAATCCAAACTCTTTTTTGACAACAAATATTTTGGCAACGTTAATGATCGTCAAAGAACATTTTCTTATGATACAAATAATAACACAATCTCACATGTAAGTATTTCCGAATATATCTATATATGCATATTTTTTAAAAAAATGAATGGATTTAAATTGAAGATTTATCTATTATAGGACGATTTATCACAAAACACAACCAATGACATTTCAAATAGCAATGAAGAGAATAGAAACATCAAAGAGTTGGAAAATGATGCATTGGAAATGCTTATTAGATTGAGAGACAGCAAGAATGATGGCTCCGTTGATAACGGATACGATGAAGATGATAATCGATTACATAATAGTGATGATGATGCTGCCGCAGAAATGCTTGTTAGATTGAATAATAATAGTGTAGTTCATAATAATAACAAACTAGGTAACGAGGAAGAAATGGACATTGGCAATGAAAATCAAGAAAACTATAAGCAGAATGAATTAGGCTATAGTGATGATGATATGGAGATTAATTCTAGAATTGAAATGAAATCTGATGTCGGAATAAATAAGAGTCATCTAGAAATAGACAATCATAATGTATTAGGAAATAAGAAAATATTGTCAAAAAGTAATAGAGGACTAACAAATAACACAGAAAAACCATTATATTCTTATGCTTCGTTAATTGGACAGGCAATTTTGCAGTCACCAAGAAAAAAACTAATCGTTAGTGACATTTTTAAATGGATATCAAATACTTATCCTTATTATTCAACAATTAAAAGTTCATCATGGAAGGTAAAAAAATTTTCTCGCCTAAATTATATATATGTGTGTGTGTGTGTATGAATTGATTATAATGAATGATATAATTGATTCATAATAAAAATAGACTTCGATTCGTCACAACTTATCAAAGCATGAAATGTTTATTCGGGTAGAAAATGATAATTCTTCAAGAGCATGTTGGTCTGTTAATCCTGATTCAGAAAATTGTTTCGTTGATGGAGTATTTCACTCGGATGTAATTAATTCATATTTATATTTTTTACAAATTTTAATTTTTTTGTTTCTGATACCTAAAAATTTTTTTGTAGATGCTTCAGTACACAAAAAAAGCAAAAAGAAAAGAAAAGAAGTCGAAGGATTAAAAATTCTTATTAAGATTTGGAAATAACTCGTGAAATAAAAATTCGAATATTTTTATTTTTTTTTTGGAAAAAAGGTGATTTGAATGTGTAGTCTAGTTTTGGCAGAACGTTAGATAGTTAATGAATTATTTTTTTAATTAATAAAAAAACTGTAAATTTTAAAAAAAAAATCCAGTCGTGATGCAATCCGCAAAACCAAGTGATCTACACATTTTTAGATGTGTAACGGTAAAAATCGGATATGAATACTGCGGATTGCATGCAACTGATGTCTGACTGTTTAAATATTCGACCGAATATTAAAATTTCCATAATAATAAATATCAGTGGTTACACGAAATTCTTAATCCGTACGAACAGCTTTAACATATTCATGGACCTTACAAACTCCACTTTATCACCAACAACTGCTGGTGATGCTGTAGAAAACCGAACATCATTACTTATTGATCCAAAAACTCCAGCAGAATACGCCTTAACCATATTATATAGACAATTTGCAAAGATTGCTGAAAAGAAATTAGAATTCATAATAAAAAATAGTAGTGCGGTTGGTATATTATTTTTGATCGTGTACATTTTTTTATTTTAAACGCTAATACAAATAATATTTTTTAACTTGGATAATCTATAAAAACATTTTAGGATCATGAAATTGATTTCTTCAGCATTTTGGGTTCTGGTGTCGATACAGCTTTTGACAAATTGTTAAATTCCCTGGGTTATATAGCTAGACACAAACCTAGGCCTGTCATTGACACAGTAATGTATTGGAGAAAAAATAAAACGCAATCACATAGACGTCATTTGTAATCTTTTATTATTATTACCATTACTTTTGAGATATACAGAGAGATGGATCTGTAAAAATTTTAATAATAACTCTGTGAACATTTGTTTATAAAATAGGAGTGATACCATATTGATGAGAAGAGATTTTCAAATGGCAGAAGAAGAGCGGATTGGGGTATGTGACTTATTGGGAATAATTGAATTTAGAACTATACCATTTTAGAAATTAGTTTATGATTCTTTTTTTTTGATTAGGAGTTTGAAAGGATCTTATATATATATATATAATTGATTCAAAATTTTTATTTATTAGAAAACTGTATTAGTGAATATGTTTATAAACTCCTTGTTGATCTCTCAATATTTATTTGACTTTATAAACTATTCTTTATTGTAATAATTAATAGTAATGTAAATAATAAGATTACTTAATGCAAATATATAAACATTTTTATTTTAATATTTTAATAGCAAGCTACACTATATATTTTGGCTCGTACACTTATTGAAATAGTAAAACAATTACAGCCGGAAGCATTAAAAGAAGATATAGGAAAAACTTTGGAAGAAGTAGTATTTAAACCAATTCTGGATTGGAAACCGTATGTTTCTAATGACGATGTTGATAACATTTATTCAACCGTTTCATTATTATTAATTCATTTGCACTACATAATATTGTTAGTGAAGATGTTTCAAGATCAAAACATAAAGATGCAAATTTTACCATGTTTTCAGAACTTATTGGTTGGCTTTCTAAAATACGATTTTGTACTGTTTCTGACCGATTCACAGTACAATTAGAACAATTCATTAAATCAGCTCCAAGTAACATGAAAGAACAAGAAACAAGATTTGAATTGCTTCTTAGAGGAATGCATCATTTAAAATTAAAAGTACGTGTGCACACACACACACACATATATATTAATTATATATATAACTAATCATTAATAATGAAATTGGTCGTAGATTTATCCTGTGGAGGCATTAGAAGAGACGGCTGAATTTTTACAGACATTAGCAAAATTTATGAAAGCTGCCGATAGCCCAAAAATAAAACATGCATATGCTGATTTATTTGTTAGATTATTAATGCCTATAGCTGGGGTATGTCTATATAATTTTTAAATTTAATTTCATGATTTATAACGTTGATGAAATTCTTTTGACCAATTAGGTAGCTGATGCAGAGGTCAGATTCCCTGCTTGGGTAAAAGCTGTTGAAATGCTATTTCCAAAAGCATGGAAAATGTTGGAAAGACCACGATATTGCCGTGTAAATTAGAGTTTTTTTTTTCAAAAAACTTTTTTAAAAAAAAATTACATATAACAACAAATTTTTTATTTAAAATAGGTCGCATATCCATTAGCTACGACTTTATTATGTGTTAGCCAAAGGGAATATTTTATAAATAATTATAACAATTGTTTAAATGCATGCATACAAAGGTTTAGGGTAATGAATGTTTTTGTTTATTATTTATATATCTATTAATATTTTTTATTAAAAAAAAAATAAACAAACAATTTAATAAATAATCTGTTAAATAGGACAGTAAATATAGACAAATGGCGATGGGCTGTGTAATTAGATTAGTATGGACATTGATATACCGATGTAATGATGGAACTTCAAATACACATAAAAAATTGGATGAAATAACTAAAATTTTATTTCCTCCTAACCGCAAATCAACAACACCGCCTGATATTCATCCGGATTTATTTGTACAATTCATACATATTGTAGGAATGAAACATCATGATTATTGTATGAAAAATCTTATATTTTTTTTAATGAATTCAGATCTTATGGCTGGCCAGACATTATCACTAGATTATATATCACCTGAACGAATGAGGATTGCAATAAGAGCTTTTATGATTTTATTAGCCAACACTCAAGAATCTGAATTGAAACCAACCTTTCCAAGTAACCCTGATTTGTTCTCTCCTAAACCTCTACTTGGGATTAAATATTCTTCTGATGTCATTACTGAAGAGGTTTTGAATCGAATTGGGTTTAAAGAAGATTTCCATAAATTTTGTGAAATTGCTTTTAAAATTGCTTATATGCTAGATCGTAATTATGGTGGACTGCTTGTGCTGGATGAAAAAATTCATACTTTACGTATCAACTATTCACCGATTGTCAATGTAGTAAGTGGTGTTGGTGAAATCAATGGCTTTATAACTCATCATTACTTATCTGTCAATGTATCATATCCAAAGGAAAAACAGCCCTCTTTAGATTTGTTGCGGGAATATGTTAATTCTCTTCCTAGATTAATAAACGATAATACAAAAACAGTCGTGGAAATGTTGTGCAGGTACACTGCCCATGCAGATCCAGAGCTTGCTAAATCATCATTTTTTGCTCTAATAAGAATTGCTCACCAGTGTGGTGCAGAAATTGTTATAACAGGTCTCTCACATTTTGTAAATAAAATTGAGGATCAATACACAGATATTTTAACGGGTAGTGGTAGCCATTCTGGGATTGGCGCAAAAAGTGGCGGTGTATTAAGATTATATCTTGATTTGCTAGTTATATGGTTAGGCCAGTTACGGAATAACAAACATACTACTGATACTCGTGGTGATATTAATGTTTTAGATAATTCTACTAATATCACTACACCTCAATCACCAAATGATTCAACTGATTCCTGTACTTGGACAACAATTATTGAAGTGATCGAAGCCAATGGGTTATTGTTTCTTTGTAGTCAGTCGTCTCTGATAAGAAAATGTGCAATCAACATATTACAACTTGTTGCAGATCTTGAGGTGGAATTCGAAAAACGCAGTAAACAAAACCAGACAATGCATCCATCACATCATAGTTACGATGGAGAAAATGATAATATATCAGAGGCTTTGATGACAGCAGAGGCAACAGGAGAAGAAGATAATGACGAAAAACTAGAAGATGCAAAATATAAATTACACTACTCAGCCTCTGGCACAGATGATAAACAAAAATATTCTCGTATAATTCATGTTCTTAAATATGGCGGTGGCGAACTTATCAAATTTGATACTGAGCTACAAAATTCCCTAACAATAGTTGAACATATACGCTTACAAAAATTACAACAACAAGGCAAAAAGGATATTCTTTTAAGACTTGTCGAAAGTGAAAATCCTGCTGATGCTGTCATATGGTCACACTGTTTTCCAACTTTTATGAAAATATGTATAAAACGTTTTCATGTAACTGTGCCTTTATGTCGCAGCTATGTTCTTATTCGAATTATGAAGATGCAATCGGCCATTGTTAGCGCATCGGAAGCACATGCGCGTCCAGCGCCAAAATTTCATATGCCAAAAAGCACTTATTCAGCTAACGACGATATCATTAAACAGTGGAGTTCATATTTAATTGTTGCCTGTTCCACGATCACTGTTTCAATGAAAGATGACGAACGTTTCGATCGACTTTGGACAAATAATCGTAATCGTGGTGTTATATCACAACAAGAACGTATCACATCAGCAAAAGAGCTGTTCAGAAAAGTCTTGCCATTACTTTCTTCTGAACATAGAGAAATTCGTAATTCTGTATGGACTGCTTTAGGCAATATAAATGAATTTGTTTACAGAACCTTACTTGAAGAATTAGGTCCACATATAAAAGCAGTTGAAGAAGATTACAGGATTAGAACTCTTAAACAAGGTTATGCGTCAATGCATAAACGTGGTAAAAAGTTCGATAGATTGCGAACTGAGATTGCTCATGTTTTCCAATTGACGGCTCATTTTCTTCTCAACGAAAGGTATATCCGTGATTCGTCATTAATTAATATCATAATTTCATTCATTAAAGAGACAAAACAATTTCTTCAAGATGGCGAAAATGCTATGGACTGGGAATGGCAAAAACTTCGCACATATTTTTGCGGATTGATTGAAAAACTGTATGATGGAATTTCGCAAACTGAAGTTGATATAATGGATTCTGAAACTAGGGCAATGCTTTTTAAAATGATTGAAGAATGGTGTGGTCATGGGAAAAGAGGTTCACATCATCGTGAAAGAGAAGCTAGAATGCTTAGCATGGTGATGGATCAATTCAGAGATGCAGAAGATAGAAGACCTTTAACCACTCAAATGGAAGCTGATAGGAAAGCTTTAGAGTTTGCTGCATTAAATGCCATGGCTTCATTATGTGTAAGTATTTTTTTTATATTGTTGTTAAAATATATATATTTTTAATTTCGAAAAAAATGTATATATTTTATTAAGAAAGGACCAGTTGAATCAAGCTCCATGAAAAAACAGCAACAAAATTTGCTTGATTCTGATAGCATATTTGAATGGATTCAATCTGTTTTTGAAAATCCGCAAGATAAACTTCATCCTATTGCAAGGTTTAATAAATTTCACATCAATTGATTAATTTTCCTCTTTTTCCTCTTTCTCCTCTTTCTCAAATTTTTCATATCTAACCCATGTATTTATATAGGAGAGCACTTGAAGGGTTATTAATTAGTAATAAAAATAATCCAAGTTTTCTTGAGGTACCAATTCATCTTTGCTATTCAGGAAATCCACAATTTAAGAGCACACAAGGATATTTCTTGGCATTGACAGAAGTATTTTCCAAAGTTAATGATTATCCTTGCGAACGACCTAGTAAAATTTTATCATTAGCACTTTTCAAGGTAGGAGATGCAGAATTGGAGATTAGAAAAAATGCTTTAAAATTATTAAAAATAATAGAAAATCGTTATTGGAGAGAAACTTTCTCGGACGAGTTTGAAGTAGGAATTACAAGTGAGCTATCGTCGATCTACAAACAAACACAAATTCTCCTATCGACAAAGCTTGCTCAACTGGCTCGAAAAAGAGATGAAGAAAAATTTGGACAACTCAGTAATCTGAGTGAAATGAATATTCAAAATTTCACTGAACTTTACGAAGAAACTCATTTTATGTTATCAGAGGTTACCATGAGATTTGAATTTGTAGTGGAGAAATGTAAGAAAGATATGCTTGCTTATTTGGTACCTTGGGTTAGGAACGTAGAACTACACTTTACAGAAGAAGGTGAATTACATCCTACAACATTTATAATGATTTCAAATTTATTTTTTATTACGGTGAAATATGGTGATATGTTTGTGAAGGAGATCAAAAAAATTTGGCAACAGTTAGTAATGGGTGAACATGTACGGAATATACGTGCTATAGTGAAATTTTTAATTGATGTTGGACTAGAGAAACGTAATCCTATTTTTGTGTCACATGCGAAAAGAGTATTTGTATATTTAGGTCGTACACCCACACGTGCAGCAGTTATTGAAGCATTGGTGTCTGAAATAATACCAAAATCAATGAGCCCACAATCTAAAGAAACGGGTGAACAAAAGGAATTAAAGACTTATGGAATGCATCTTTCAAAAATAGAAGAAGCGATGCCTCAACAAAACAAACGTCCTATATTTTCATCTGGGCAATTGGCAATGTTATATATGGTTGATATGGCAATAGAGGCTGGTGCTGATTTTGAATTGCATTTACCAAGATTACTTCATGTTTTATTTGTACAATTAGATTCGGCAAATTCACTCATCAGCGAGGAAACACGATCATTATTGATCAATTTGATTCATTCGATGATACTTAGTAAATCGGTGTATCCGGAAGTGGTTATGCTTGCAAAATCATTGGTGAAAGAATTAAGAGCTAAGGAAAGTTCGCAATTATGGCCATATGAAGATATCACCTATAATAATAGATCTATAAACAGTCTAGTAGAGCTTGAAAGATTACTAAAAGACGTAGTGACGATTTTTGGAGTAACAATTTTTGGAGAAAGTAATCAAGATGACTTGAAACAAATGTGGGGAGAAATGGCATTAAAATGGGCGACATCGTGTGCGGTTCGACATATAGCATGTAGATCTTTTCAAATATTTCGCTTTCTGATCCCAGTTTTTAATGAACACATGCTTACAGATGTATTATCACGACTTTCTAATACAATATCCGATGCTTCCGAAGATATTCAAGGATTTGCATTGGAAATACTGATCACATTGAGCAATGTTGTTGATTGGCTTGAAAAAGATACTAAAGAAATATTTCCACAACTGATATGGGCGACAATTGCATGTCTTCAAACAGTCAATGAGCAAGAATTTTTAGAGGTGTTGTCAATTTTAGATAAAATATTAGATAAATATGATTTGTCAGATGAAGAAAATAGTGCGATTTTGCGGAGTTTCTTCCCGGAACATAAATGGCACGGACAATTTATCGGCATTCAACCATTGTTGATGAAAGGGATTTTGTCATCAACAGCATATCAAAAAACATTTTACATGTTAAAAAAACTGCTGTTTATACAAAACGAACAATTGATTGACCCGACACCGTGTAGATTGATGTATCTGATACTTGCTAATCTTCCAAGATTTGTACATGCATTGGATGATGAAAGCATCAGGGAGGAGTGTAATGAATGGGCACTTTATTTATCAGAAATGTCTGAACAACAAGATCGAACAAATCTTGCCAAGATTTTAAGCTCATATCATAAAGGTCGATTCAGATCTAAGGAGGATTTTTTGAGAAACATCACATTGATTATACGAGAAAATTATTTTAATGAACATCAAGTAGAGATCATAATATTTTTCATGAGTCTTCTTTCAAATAAATTACCATATTGTAAATTGAAGACGATGACGATAATCAAGACATTGCTTCCATATGTCAATACAGAAAATCATAAATTTATTTCATTAGGATCTGAGTTGATACTACCATTATTGCGACTTTTGCAAACAGAGTATTCACAAGAAGCATTGGAGGTACTTGATGAAGCGATACTTATTGTTGGTGGGCCTAAAGATAAACAAATTTTAAGAATGAGTTTTAATACACGGAGAGGAAAAGAGAACGAGACAACTATTAGTCTATTTGGTGAGCCGGAAGAGTCTGGATGGTCAATACCTGATCGTAATAGTGCGATGGAAATGACCAGGAATGATGTTCACTCTGTGTGCTATACGTGTAAAGTGTCGACAATCTTACCAGATCCTGACTATCAATTCTTTGCAGATATTCCTATTGATACATCGGCTTATGGAGACGACACACCTACAAGAGACTATAAATTCCGTGAGATTGTATCAAAACTACAAGATTTGAATGAATACTTTTTGCCAGGGGATGATGTTCTTAGTAATGGCGGGGGTAGCAATGGAAGATCAATGACGATGTCCTCTTCATCATCTTATCAAATGATACCAAGAATAACAGAGCAAGATTTAGGAGATATGGAACAAAATTTTGATGATATTAATGATCTGAACTCGAATGAAGAATATGATGATGATGATTACGACGACGACGATGACGACGATGACGATGACGATAACAATGATGATGACGATAATAATGATGAATTATTGTATGAAGAAATATTGGAATAAAAAAAGTGATAATGGAGAGCATTTGTATTTAATTGATCAACAATTATTTTTTATTTTACCATAGAAAAAGTGTTTGATGTATTATTAATTATTTTTTTGAATAAATTTATTACTCTAATTAATTTAAAACATTATACATAGAATTCTCTTAATAATATTTTATGGTCTAAGGATCCCCAGATTTTTGCACAACATATTAATATAAATTATAATAATAATAATAATAATAATAATGATTATAATTGGTGAAAATCAGACCCTGTTTATTTAAATATTATGAAGGTCGTCTCGATTTCAGTGAATTAAGTGGCTTTGATGGCGAACTAGCATTTATACCAGTAAATAACCCTAGTATATGAGCTAAAGACAATTTTTTTGTAGTCACAGCAATATTATCTTTTCCTTCAAAGTCACAATATTGTGGTTTGTTAGTTTTTCTATAAATGTTTGAAAACGCTTCTCATCTAACTTCTGAATTACCTCGTCATTTTTCGAATTACTTTGGTATTATTATTATATTAACAGAACTTAATCTTTCTATTGGTATGTGTTTTATAAGCCAGAAATAATTTTTGGTGACCAGAAAAGGTGTTAAGTCGGATGATCGGAAAATGTAAGCCCGCTCGCTATGCTTATATTATTTCTCTTATTATGGTGACAAGATCTTCCATTTTAAATGAATGGCATTCAATTACACAAGATATTGGTCATCAGCTATTCACTGAATATTTGCTTTTAATCGATAAAAACACTGAATATTCAATGAATAGTATTAGGTGCAGAAACAATTCGGGATAGAAATACAAATTGAAATATTTCAGAAATTAAAAAGTGGCTATGGCTAACAACTTTAGTAGTGAAGATTGACAAGTTCCATACATCTTTAATCTGTTCTTTGTGTGATGGGTGATTTGATAAGCATAAAAATTCTGGTCTGTCAGAGTCTGGAAATCAGTCTGTCTGACACATTGGAATCAAGATGTTAATGCTTGCCTGTAACATTTTTTTGCACACAAACGCTTATGGAGAAAGACCTGATCTGTTTATAAGGACTCTCTGCTGCCATTTTAATTGTGGCAGGATATGTCTAGCTGGTGGCAGTGGCGATGATGATGACTTTATATGAAGCCACAGTTACTCATTGGATCTTTCTCTTTCTGGTTTAGTGTGGCAAGGTTACTTGTTAATGCAATATTTGGTAAAAACTGTAAATAAAACCATATTAATCAATGTAAAAACTTGAGAAAAATTAAAAAAAGATTTATAAACTTGTTCATTACTTGTCATGTCATTTTCATATTAAGTTTTTATTTTTTCTTGCAAACTTCAACCAAAGGCTAAATAAAAGAAATTAAAGTTAGAAACATTTGAAAGTTTGACTCTTCTATTCATACAGAAAAACAATGTCAAAATTGTCACAATTCGGCACACAGCTTCATCTTGGATGTTTCATCTTTATCAATGATTGGGAAATTAATTGATGAAAAAACTGTGAATAGAACTCATTTCAGATCACCAAGTTGTAGTCAATTCAAACATTGATGTTATTTAGTGGTGATGATGTTTAATAAAAGAAATAACGGATTTCGAACTTATTTATTTATTATTACACAATGAATGATATACTTAAAATAATAGTGCAAATTGCAAATAAAAGAAATATATTTTTTAAGATAATTGTGAAATAAAATTAAATTTGGGATGACTATGGGTTATTTTCAATACTACAACTCCATGAACAGGAATTTTATCAGATATATATCTAAATTTTGTAAACCAAAAAACCAATAAGGTTAATCAATATTTAACAAAAAATTTTTTTAAAAAAAAACAGTTTATGTTCTTTACTCACTCTTTAGTGAAGGATCCAAGATCCTTATGTTGCCATAAATCTCTTAATAAAAGAGATGTTGTGTTTGAATTGAAACTCGAAGAAAAGAATGGTTCAAGTAATTCAAATGGAAATTTAATTGAATAATCCTCATCATTACGATTAAACAAAACTTTTTTCCAATCAAAAAATAAATTATTAATTAATTAACACAAATAATATATGTAGTAAAAAAATATTTAATTAATAAATCACTTACTGGCAACTGCATGTTCTTGAGTGTCACTAGAAAGTTCCCCAATCCATATATCATATGATATTGTAGAAACTTTGTTTTGATCTTCATATTTTTCACGATGTGCTAATTTTGCTGATTTACCAAGTGGGTCTTGATTAATACCAATGATTTCTGTATTCTTTAAAATTTGAATTGTTTCATCTGTCATATTACGAACATCACATCCAATTAATAATGGTGATTTTAATGCTGCCCAAAGTGCTAAAGAAAAAGATTTATAAAAATTTTAATAATTAAATAAATATCAATATTATATTCATGTAATATTAAAAAGGCAAATATATATAAATATAAAATATTATTATTTACAAAAATGACTTTTATATTCTTCAAAAGTCATTCCCCCATTTCCAACTTCCAGCATATCTAAATCATTAAATCCTCCTGGTGAAGAATATTCCTCTAGACCAACTGTAGAATCTAATATTTCTAACATTCCACATGGATAACAATTACGGGGATCATTTGTTTGATTAGAAGTAAAATAATCATTAATGTCAGATGTTGTTCTCCATGAATTTCCTATATCTGGTCCCCTTTAGTTTGAATATTTAAATATGTAAATTATTATTACTATTATTATTTTGATAATAATCTTTTAAATAAATACCAAATCCAAGGATCTTCTTTACCCCAATTACATATTGAATATAAAATAGGTCTACCAGTTATATTCAATGCATCATGCATCCCTAATAAATAAATAAAATTATTATTATATTTTATATACATATACATACACACACACATCATATATACATAATAAATCTCATACATGTATATCTTTTTTGTGCTCCTATTCCAAAATTCCAACAATTATCATATTTAAGATAATCAACTTTCCATTTTGCATATAACTCTGCATCGAGATCTTCATGAATTAATGACCCTGGACGGTTTTCACATGTCCAAAATCCTAACATAATATAATGAATAATGTTGATGTTAGGTATGTTTGTATGAGTGCATATATTTATGTAATAAATTTCTAAATTCACTCATTTTCAAATATAAATTATTATTATTATTTACCAGCACTTGAATATAAACCAAATAATAATCCTTTGCTATGAATATAATCTGATAAACTTTCCATTCCAGATGGAAATTTCTCTAAATCTGGAATAATTACCCCGCCCCAAGTTCTTGTTTTTTGCCAACAATCATCCAAATTCACATATTGATACCCAACATCACTCAAACCTGTTTCAATTAATGCATCAGTAATATCACGAATTAATGTTTCATTGATATTACATCCAAATTTATTCCATGAACTCCAACTACCAGTTTTTTAAAAAAAACAAAAAACAATGAAACCCATAAAAATAGACAACATTTGTTTAAAAAATTATAAATAAACTTTTTTTTAGAGATATTTACCCCATAGCAGGGGTCCTTCCGACTCCATTTTCTAATCCTAAAGTGAATTGTATAATAACAACAATATTGATAAGGAGAAACAAAAGATTATTCATATTTATATTTCAAATTAGAAGAAATTCAAAATATTGTGGAACAAAATCTATTTTTTCCCAGATCTTTGTACGATTACTATAAATACAATGCGAGTGTTCATTTATGGTTAGTTTGGTTTATCTGACCGCCCCAATTATGTAAACCACTTTTTGAGTGTATCTTACCAGAACCCCGAATTATTACATTTGAAGTAACATCCAGGCTATTACCCAAAATTTTTGAACTTTTTTATCCTTTTAAGCATGTATATAGCATTTTTTCTCTTTGCCATTTTAGCATATAATAATAACATCTCAAAAAATACCCACATAAAACATTGGGGTTGGTCACAATAGTTGATCAAGGTCAATATAGAAAATTACTATGTGCGGATTTTTTAATGTTACACGTATATATATTATAGAAGATTTATTTAAATTTAAAACGTAAATCAAGCAAGCTCTTGGAATAATCCTTCCGCGATTGTATTTGCATTTGCTCAATTAAGAGCTTGTCAGAGAGTTTTTTGCATTTATATTAGTAAAAAAAATTTCACATCCCAAAAAAAAATAAAAAAATAATACATGGCACATGAAGGTGCTACATATCTTTCGGGGGTGATACCTTTACAGTATATTAAAACAATTTAACAAAAATAAATATCTTATTGAGAATGGATTCACAATTCAACAAAATGTTTAGAAGCTGTACTGGAATTACACTTGCTGAACGTGAATCAGTTTACGACATTGATTTATTAATCGGAAATAGTATTACCAGGGTAACAATTCAAGGGTGAATTTGTAAAACATTTATTAATATTAATTAACCATTTAATTTATCATTTAATTATTATTTTAATTAATTAATTAATTAATTGTTATTTCTTATATTTATTTGATATCAGAATAGTTATAATTCTGATTATCTAAATCAAGAAAAGTTTTTAAAAGGTCTGTTGAAGTTAATTCAATATATAGATCACATCATATTTACTAGCATGATCCAAAAAAGTAATAAATATTGATAAAGTGGAGGAGGTTATAATATTTACCCAAAGGACATCTATTTATGGCCAAAAGAATTATTTAGGTCATGGTTTTAATACAAACATATCATACTGTAACAAGTTTTATTGAGATTAAAATACAACATATACAAGAGCCATGATTTTATAAAAAATTCTTACACATGTTTAATATAAAGAACTATAGAATGCATTGCTCTCAGTATATACATAATCTTAAAGATCATGTATCTACTTAGCCAGGTTATGTATCTACTAGGACTAGACTATGTATCTACTATGACTATGATCCTGGTATGCGTGTGTTGGCACTCTTTCTTTTATTCGAAGTCATGTACATTGTTGTGGTTGCTGGTTTTTGATTGGTTTGTGAACGTTTTCTCCACCAAGGCTGAGGCAAAACGTGCCGATTGTGAGGGCTATGCCCGAACTGGATGCAAAGCATCCTGGTTTATAAATATGCAATGATGTAATTATTAATAAATTAGACTATTTCATGATCATGTGCTAGTAGTCTAATAAATCAATGAAAAACATATAAATAGACCCTCCATCCCCCCACTCCGTATCAAAAAATCGATTCGTAAAAAAAATACACATATCTTATATCTCTATAAACAATGCATTTCCTAGGTGAATTGTCAATTTTTTTGATTGCAAGGATGAGGCACGAAGTGTCGAATTGGCAATCTGTATTTTGGCCTTGCATGTCACATTTGAATTCAAGGACGAGGCACAAAGTGCCGAAATAGTATTCGTGATCTGGTTTTGCATGTCGCATTCAAATAACGATTGAGGGTGACATCCGGAAAATATAAAAAAATTTTACACGTGTCAATTGTAAGTTTAATAATAAAAAAGTGTAAAACTTACGTCGGCACTGTAAGATTTACACAATATTACGTCGGCATCATAAGATTTATGCAAGTTTACGCTAAATTAATTTCCTGATGGAGGTACGAAGTGCCGAATTGTTATCTTCGCTTGGTGATATGTAAAAGCACAATTTTTTCTTAGTACTTCCTTATATTATTCTACCTTTGCGTATTACCGAAAGTGTACCATGTTTTGCGGTCCTGGATCACTTTCTCGCATAGTTGGTATTACCTCTCCATGTCAAAAAATTGGATCATACCTTTGCGTATTACTGGATCGAAAATTTTGACGAAAAAAAATATGCTTTTAGTAATCGTTATAACGATGGACTTTTGAGTATCATTTTTCCATGTCAAAAAATTGATTATACTTTTGCGTATCACCAGAAGCCAAGGTAAGTACACCACCTATACCAACCATATCTCAATCCAAGCTTCGAATTTCGAAAACATCCAATGTCCCTCCGAAGCTCTTTCCATTCAAGAAGATGATATCAAAAGAGGAACGTAATCAGGTCATTAACAAATTAACCATGCATTTCACTGATTCTCCAAAGTTGGACAAATATAGTAGTGTAGATAAGGAAGGCGAATATCAGATTGATATGTATTGGGTTCTCGGTTCACGTTGTCCACTATGTAGGGAAAAACATATGAGTTTGCGAGGTAAGTAGTGGATCGATAAGCAAAGTAGTAAAACTTATTATTTGTATTGTGAAATTTAAAAGATCCAGGGATTCCTCTCATCGAGGTATTAGAAGCTTATCCTGAAAATTCAGGACTGATTCAGGAGTTAAAGTCTCAATGCTTCACATCACCTATCCCTTGGAACAATACCCTTAAATTCCCAGATAAAAGCATGGTAGTGGAGGCATAGAATAAAGTTTGCCCCATATTTCGGACTTTATCTTTTTAACCAGTGTATTCAAGTGTGGTGTGGGGTGTGGCATATACATCGGAAAAATAAGAATTGTAACGATAGAAGCCATTGTTTTTTACAAAAATCAAATCCCAATGTGCAACAATTCTTCTAAATCAGATCATTGATTCATGTAGGGGTGTAAGTGAATACCAAGCTTTGCTACTCGATTGTATTAAAAAATCACAAAGTTTATACCATCATGGGCCTTTAATTAGTGACAAAAGGCTTTATTATGCATTAGTGACATCAAGTATACATGTAAACTACTATATTTTCTTTAAAAATGTAAACCATGGCCTTATTTGCTGAATATATTAGTATTTTCCCGAAGATAGTATTCTACCGATTGAGACCGAAATGTGATGGTGTTTTTCTCTGGGTGGTATGCAAATACATTGGTCTCCAAGACTTTGTTGGCATCTTCGTACTTATTGAAAAATTCCATAAACGTTCTAAAGCTAAGCTCCTTAGAATCCAATAAAGCACCGATGATGTGCTTCCCTACTTCATGATGCAGTTGTTTTCGGAGGAGTTGTGCAGATTGGAATTTTTTCTCGACTTCTCTTAAGATTTGCTGTTTAATGACTACAGAAAAAGAGTTAAGCAATTAATCCAAAGCAAAACTATATAAATTCGATTGACGCAAAATATAAAATCAATATTACCTTTGAAGGACTGTCCAGCCAGGAAATAATCCACCACAGTCTTAAGCTCTACGATACGACCACCAACTAATTCATAGATTTTATTTGCTTCTGAAGAACTAATTTTGCGCTTGTTAACCAGATAATCCATTGATTCCTTCTTGCTGAGATCACCAATTTCCATTACTGGTTTCTTTGGACGTGACCATGAACTACGTGCTAGAAATAAGAATCACAATCTGTAAGTAATACAATTTTTTCAAGAGCACCAAAAAACATCGTCAAATACTTACATTCCATTCTTTGGGAAACACTTTCTTCACTGCTGACAAACACGGCAATGAATTTTCTGTCATCGGCATTATCCTTGGCATCATCCTGAAGGATATCAAGGATTTCCAGATTCTTGTAAACTAGTCGGTTGATATCATCATAAACAATAATTGGTGGTTTGCCATACTTCTTTTTGTATATTATGGAAGCATGCTTAAAGGCATCCAAAGCTCTCACCCACTCTGGATAATTGATTTTCTCTGTAAAAGAGAATCAGTGTTAAAAATATTTGTTGTTAAAAACAAAGCAGTAATAAACATACTACTAGTATCGCCCAAGATTTTCCGTAATAGCTGTGCCGTGAAAGAAATATCCTCACCTAATGAGAAGTTAATGGCTTTTCCAATCGCTTCGCCCAATTTCATGATATTTGCAGGAATATCAACATATATAACTCCCTGTCCAACTTCTTTTGCCGAAATTCTAGTCAGTGTTGTCTTCCCGGTCCCATGCTCACCGCAAACCATATGATAAAATGAATGATTTTTATATGGCTGAAAAATTCTCTTAAGGCGTTCTACAACTAGAGGTCGAGGAACGAATTCATCATCCGAAACATCAGTTTCAGGTCGAGTGCCTTTTTCTATTGTATTGGTAATTAGACGTTCATTGTGCCAGCTCCGATACCAAGTGTATAGAATGTCCACTGATATGAAACCAAGAAAACCAGTTACAAATATTTTCGCCAGTATGGCAGTCTGCAAATATTGAAAAGATGGTGAGAAACTCAACCGAGTAATGCAACAAACAACAAATATGTTCATACCAGAGGCCGTTTTGCAGTTTTACTTGTAAGTTTCTTCCAATTGGAGGAGGCAGACTCATCAGGAGAGGTGTGGCGAGGCGGAGGAAGTGTGGAAATTGCGTAAGATCTTGAGAGATATGATGGAAATAGGTTAAGTCTTAAGTTTCTCAACATAGGATTTTGTAGCTGAAGGAACACGACTCGACAGGTAACAGAACGATTCCACTGAAAGCACTGCAAGATACCGGAGGAAGACATTTCTGTTAGTTGGATCAAATGATGCTAAAAAGAAGGACTTCAAATTATTGACCATAATTACATCGCCGTACATTTTGTTATCGATCGATAGTGCGGTGCAACAGAAAAATTTTGCTTGCGTAACATAGACGTTCGATCTGTATGAAATTCTGCGACAAATCTGACAAAAAATCAAAATTCGATTTATCACTTCATACATTTTGAGAGGAATTCTTGGCATAAAATACATCTGCATTATTCATTCTTTAGAGGGAGGCGTGGAAGGAAAACGCTTAAAATGTCAGTATATCGAAGTTATACACATTAATGATAATTATATCTCCATCTTCCATGTTATTATTATGCATATACTCATTCCGGTTTTGATATTGCAAATACTGTTTTGGATTCATAGTAAATTCGCCTTGAGATTTACGTCTATTATTCTTAGATTTGCGAGACATATCTTATGTATAGTGATCAATTTTTTTCTTGTCAAAAGTGATCAGAGAAAGATTTTCCGAGCATTCTCAGAGATGAGGTTAGTATTTTCACTTCGTAACTGCTTAGCTACATCAGCAACTTCCGAAGCTTGAGCACACAACTTCTGAATCTCATTATCATTTTGTATTGACTCACGATTCCGCCGTTTTTTCTCCCGACCAAAATCTTTTGTTTGGATAGAGTATTTAACCTGCAATTTCTCACTAGTTTGTGTTTTACATTTTTGTCTATTTTTAATCCCAAACAATCAGCAATATCTTTGGTAATAATGAGAGTATTAGAACCAGGATCGACTGTAATGGCAGAAAGCACTAAACGATTGATTTTGCCTCTCACAGTTGAAACATCTATTTTGCCCTTATCCCGAACAAAACCAACTTCCATATTTTCAATTATTTCTTCACCCTCGGTCTCGCCTTGTGGGTGGATTAGAATTCTGGATGATTCTGCGTATAATCCCCTCCAATAAAGCAGAATTTCAAACTCGCTTTGGGTTATTTCACGAATTCGTCGTTCTAGTAAAGTCGAAGTGGGATTTTGCAATCCTTGAAGAGAGTTCCAATTCCCCTTATCCTCTGTAGAATATATATCTTTCTTTTCTTTGGATTGTTTCGAAATTTGCTTTTGCGAGGATGTCATATTGAGTACTTGCTTAGATCGCTCTATTTTTTTTTATTCTGTCTACATCAACATTGGAATCTCCATCGAATATATTATCCTCTTCTTGATCGGAAATAACAGATTCATCGGGAAGTTCTTCTGTATCAGAGTGGCTTTGTTGAAATCTATCGGCAAAATTCACACAACCTGTTTTTTTTTTCTTAGAATTAGCAACCATATTCCTAATTACAGGACAACTGCGATAAGTATGACCCAGCCTTTTACAAATTTCGCATTTACTTTGGGTTGGTCTAGCAGTAATCTTAAGATGAATTGGTTGCATTTATTGTTGGCTCTGGTATATTAGATCTGATTGACTTTATTTATAATAGCGTAATCGATTTCCATTGGTTTGAATACTCTATTATCCTCAGCCTCAAGGCCCATTTCTGCATAATTTTTTAAATCCTCGTAATATTTAGCTTTCTCGGTCTTGGGGAGGAAATTGCGTTGAAATGGTTGAAGCTCCAGCTGTTGGAACATAGGTTGTTGAACGATTTGTTGAGGCGGTTGGAATACTGGCTCTTGAATATTTTTCCGAGATAGCTGAAATATATGTTGTTGTTTTTCTCGGGATAAGTGAAAGAGGGAAAAAGAAAGTTGGCGAGCATTTTATACATGTAATAATTTTATACTTTTTGGTCATTTTATTAATGAACTCAAATCCCGATTAGTATGAAACTCTGATTTTATTTTTCTTGCTGAATAATACTTTCTGATATGTAAAAGAAGTTTGATAATTCCTGCATAATCCATCGGACAAACGAATGTGTACATGTTTAATGAGGCTGTGTAATAGTATTATTAAAAAATTCGTCATATTAAATTAAAAATTCGTAAAGCATTAATATTTTAAAGCTTTGATTTAGTAAATTATGTTTATTCTATATTAATTTTATTTTTTTGTTGTTGTCATAATTGTTATGAATACCTTATGCTAGTAAAACCCATTGGTTTGACAGACTATTAAATAGTAAAATATTTCTTTTAGCAGAGAATAAAATTAACTGGTTATGCAAGAAAAAAGGCCCAAAAAACAAAATTGGCAGATATGAAAGAAAAAACGCACGAAATTTTCCTTGACGGGAAATCTGTGTAATCTTCAAGCAATTACTAATACTATGATCGCAGATCGATTATAAATTTCATCCCATCCTATTTAAATCAATCAATAAAAATGTCAGAAAAGTTTGAGGTGTGGAAATGGTTATGGACTCAATATCAGTATCGTTGGTCCTCTAAGCCAACAACTGAATTCGTGTTAAATAGAGATCTAATTAGTATTTGCGGTATTACTTTTGAATATTGTCTAAATGATACATCAACACTTTTATTAAAAAAGTTGTTTGAAGCAAGTATAACTGCAACTGCTCAAAAAAATACTAATCGCGATAGTCACTCCATTGGTTTAGTAACAGGTGCTCCAGGGATTGGGAAGACACGATTTTTGTTGGAATGTGTTAATCATATAAAGAAAAACTTTCCAAATTTTTTCAAAGACTTTGTTGATCTTGTCATAATATCTTACAGTAATGCAAATATTCCTAATAATTTAGATTTGGAATTGGGAGAAAAAAAATCCTTAAGCTTACGATTTTTACATTCAGTATTTGTGGATCCAATAAGAGCATATGTAGACTTTGTTATGGATCTTAAAGAAGCAGGATTCCAATATGATGATATTACTCTCAGAGAAGCAATAACAATTGCACGCAAAGGGTTAAATATTCAACCAACAAGTAATTGGCTCTTGGTAATATCGATTGATGAATTCAATAAAATTATAACCAACTTTGAAAATGATAGAGGTCATAAGTTCCTATCAAAAATCAGCCAAATTCTTGGAAGTGTCATGTGTAATCCACCTGAATATACAACTGTGTTGGGCTTGATGGCAGGGGCTATGGCTACGACAATAAATACTGTCTTCCGTGAGTCCTCTCATCTTACAATGTCAATGCGTCTATCTCCATTAAGTGAAAATGAACGTGCTAAAATTCTTATGATGTTGGGTTTTCCAGAAGAATGGAAAACGTGCCGAGAATTTCGTCTTTCTTTAGCAGATGTTGGAGGTCTTCCACGGATTTTTGAAGCATTTGTTATGGAAATGCCAGCCCTACATCAGAAATAATATAGCAATTTCAGGATGGCCATTTAAGGAACGAATTATATCTGCTGTAAAAAATTATGCACATACACGTTATCTAGATGGTGCTCGTCCATTTGCTGTTAAGCTCATTGAAGATATCATCCTCCAAACACCTGTATATCGTGAAAATGCAATTGATACAACTGGTAATATTCCTACTACTTATGGTGAGCTTGAATCCCAAGCTGATGTATTACTTATAGAACAAGATGATAAATCGTGTATTGTTACAATGCCTCTCCTTCTTCTTGAATGGCTTTTAACTAGTGCATCATGTCTTCAAAATCCCGCAACAGCTTTACTTAAAAAATTGTTTGTTTATGGCATAGATAAGAAAATCACATGGCAAGAGTTTGAAGTATTTGTTGCAATCTTCGAAACTTCTAAAACAATGCTCATGTATCAACGTGAAAAGAGATCATCAAATCATAGCTGTATAACTATTAATTTGTCTGATTATTTCAAAGTCAAGCATGATTTTCCTGATATAATTTTACCTCAAAATATTACATTTTGTAAATCCATGGAACGTTTTCCAAGGAATAAAAATATAACTGATTCATGTACTGGAAGATCCATAAATTGGGAATGTGAAACAAGCCCAACAATTATTAATGGCAATTCGGCAGAATTTGCAGATACATTTACAGTTAGAATGATGGCAGACAATTTGAGTGATTGTGGGGAAAGAGATGACAGTAAAGTATATTTCACCAGCAAATTTATTCCCTACCTATGTGGCAGTTTCAATAAGTATTTTTTAATATGTGGATAATGTAATTTATATTCATCAAATACTAATATTTCAAAAAAAGACATAGAGGATGAGATACAAAAAATTCATAATGCAATAACAACATATCTCCCAAAATATAATAATAACTGGTTGCTTGTAATATACACTACTCAAAACATGGAAAATCCAGTAGATGATCCAAGATGTATTGTTATTGATGGAGTTAAAATGGAAAAACATTTCAGTAAGACTTTATTTGAGAGAGCAATACATTTGCTAGAACATAGGAAAGTAAACATCAACCATTTTGATATAATTGAATTAAAACAAGCATGTGGTGTTGGTACTAAATATGCATCTATGATTGTTGAAGAACGAAAACAAGGAGGTTCATTTGAAAATTGGGAGAATTTAAAGAGGCATATCAATTGCATCCCTGATGCTTTATATGATAAATTTGAATACTAGAAATAATTATTACTTTTTATTAAATGTTAAACCAAATATAATAAATTTGAATTATAAATTAGTATCATTTCAAACATTGTATATTGAAGTGAGATTTTCTTTTTATCATTTTCTATGCTTATCGATTATATTTATGGCCCAGTTTCTTTAACTGACTGCACCTAGCTAGGGTTTCCACTTCTTAGGAGTTGACCTAATAAAAATAAAGAAAATAAAATTAAAAGAAAATACACACACAGCTATACTTATCAAAGGCACCCCCCTGGTAAGTTAGCAATTAATTAATAATTGAGTTAATTAGAGTGAATGGGTTGGTTTTGGATTATTACACTCGCAAGAGGTTATTTTAAGAGATATTTATGTTCATATTAAGATATTATTGTTGCTACAAGATAAAAATTCAAACTGAACTGAATTGAATTCTTACATGAAAAGAGAAATTTACAACGTATTTATCCATGTTAAAGGTTCTATCACCTAGTTCTCTGATTTCTTTGAAATCCTAAATTATACTAATTAATATATTCCTTAAACATCATTTAAATCTTCCATGTAGAATTATCTTCAAGTAATTTCTAGTCAATATGAGTCATGTAAAATTCTTTCGTTTAAATATTATGCTGAGATTTGGTCATCTGTTACACTTTAGAATGTTGGAATATTTATATCTCCAATATTTGGGATATTTTCCGAGAGCTATTTATTTATTGGTGCGCCTTATTAATTAGTGTAACTGTAACAATCCTCGAATAATATGTCACACAAATGGCATTTAATTTTATTACCATATTTGGTAAGAGAAATTCATATTTTTTTTTATTTAATTTAAGTTACTTGGCAATCGGGATTTTTGGTGAAGAATTATACATATTATTATTATTATTATTATTGTTATTAAGAAAAGTGGATATTATATCGTTATGTTATTTATATTATTTATAATTAAGAAGTTATCTTTAAATTATGATCAATACTTTCTGGGAAGTCTATAAGCTTCCATACAATATATAGATTATATATTTATTTATTTTCTTATGATTTATATTTGTATTTTAAGAACTGTATTTTTATTATTTAAAGATGTAAAATTCAAACAAATAAAGATAACTTTTATATAATTTTACAACAATAAAATTATCAGTTCATTAACAGTGTTAAATAAATATCTAAACATTTGTAAATAATTGTGATAATTATTTGAACGTTTACAGTGAAATTCATTAAATTAAACTGGTTTATTTCTTGTTGAGATAATTGCTTCCAAATTTTCACTTCGTGACACATGTAAATCATTTCCGATTTATATGTTAGTTTCCCGTGATCTATAAGTTACTATTTTACAGTATCTACTCTCTCATCAAATATAACAATAATGAAATTAAATTAAAATCATATTTGAACAGATATTCAACAAAATAAGGGTAAGCATATAAAAATAAATATAATAAATAAAACTGTTTTTTTCATTTTGTCTTTATTTTAAATTAAGGTCAGTCAGTAGACATTCAGTACTGTACACTTTTGCATTCCTGTACTGTATGATCTGCAAATCAGCATTTCTGTATTAAATGTTACAAGTACAGAATCCATTTGATTGGTGGGGGTGCTGTGTACTGTATGTTGGTGTATGACTTTTTTAAAAAAATTTCTATTTTTGTAGACCATACAGTACAGGAATGCAAAAGAGTACAGTACTGAATGTTTATATACTCAATTAAGGTGTTGTTAAATTAAAAATATTATGTATATGATCAACAATTTTTTACCATAGATGGTAAGATCATCATTCATACCAATATGATAAAATCCCAGACTGCATTACAGATATTACAGTATTCCGGAAGTTTCCCCATTAAAGTTATCTGAGGAGGAACATTGTGGTATGTTCATTTTATCCAATTGTTCATTCGTTTCATAGACCTGAAAAAGAATATGGACTTAAATTAAATTGTGCCACCACAGGATCAAAAACAAGACCATGGATCAAAGTGTCCATAGCAGCAAGATGTTGTTTTTCATTTACTTCTTTATACGCAAGAATACCTTGTATGCTTTTATGGCCTGTTGTTCAATTAATTTTGAATTCGTAATCTTATCAAGTGGCATAATATAATTATAATTCTTGCAAAATTCTTCACCAAATTTTGAGTTGATTTTTCAGTATTTGCAACAATAGCTTTTTGATGATAAAAATTAAGTTTTTCATAAATTTCAGATGGTGCTTGTTGTGAGTATATAGAGCTCCGAAACGAGTCGGGTTGATCCGAACGGGTCAGGTCGGGTCGGGTCATGATTTAATTGACCTGGGTTTGACCCGGGTCAACATCATGTTATACGTGGTATGGCTGAAAAGTAATGAGAATCATTGTATTACTCAATAATATGTGGGTATACCTAAACAAAGTTATGATTTA